TTATTTCTTTTCTTGTCATTTTTTTATTTTTCTTTTATCTTTTATTTTCTTAACTCGTAAATAAACTTATTATTTTAAATATAATTACTTGGCAAATCTTGAATTGATATTTATGAAATACTTGTATAAATATATCTCTTTAGAAATTAAATCATTAAATAAACTTATAAATATTAAAGATTACTGTGCAATTAAAAAAAATCAACACGTCTAGCATTTATAATCTGCAAGAATTACATATTAACAGTATATAGATACTTTATCATTCCCATACTTAGGTTAAGAATTTCGTATGTATTAGATAAATTTAACATTATACTTGTACTATACTTGTACTAATTTTTATATTAATTATTATAATGTACTAATTATACTAATTGTATTAATCATTATACTAATATTATACTTTTCAATCCTGTTTATACTCATGTATATTATCTACCTATATATTATACTTTCAGGTATAGCCAAAACCTACAAATTTATAAAGAACTCAGAGTAATATATAAATGGTATTACATAAAGATAAATATCATAATTAAAAAAAATAACGCAATTGAGTTGCAACTTGTGACGCAATTAAATTTTCTTATGATGCAATTAAGTTGCAACTCAATTAAAATTTGAAAATAATTATGAGGACAATCTTTAGTATTACATTAGTTCTTTGAATTGCTTGACTAAAATAAGTAATATATTTATGAGTACTATAAGTTTTCTTCATAAAAAAAATAAGAAAAATAATTAAAGATTTATAAGTGTAAAAGAAATATAATGAAATACACGTAAGATAAATGATTAACAAACAAAATTATAAAACTGTCTCTATCAGCACTTTTATACTAAACAGTTTATTTATTAAAAGATTTATTACTATTAAACTAATATAAAACAAATTTAAGAAAATTTTAAAAAACCCTATTTCTACTTACTCTTATTTATATAAAAACTATCCTATATAATATTATAACAGTTTAAATAAAAAAAATAAAGAAAAATAAGATAATAAATAAATAAATATAATAAAATAAATAAATAAAATAAATTAAATAAATTATGATATTAATGAATCTATTTAGTAAATCAATTTTACTACTATTTTAAATAATTAATTTCAGTAATACTAATTTGATTTACTGTAGATTACAATTTTGCAGATCTAATTTCAAGGGTATTATTATAATTATTTTTTTATTTTTTTACAAATTTTTTATATATTGTACTATTATATTTAACTATTTTATACTGATAATAATAAATAATATAAATAAATAACAATTGAAATCATATTATAAATAAAATCAATATTTATAAATAATAGTTGACTTTATAAATTGTTATTAATTAGAGGATTTGCATAATTCATAATCTAGTTGGTTTTAATATATCTCTCATATTTTGATTTTACAGATCAGTTTAATAAGTCTGATATGTTTGATTTTTAATATATTTAATATATTGATTATACTTCTTATATTTATTATTACTAGTATATTTATTATTTTCTTATATTTTATATATTTATTTATTTAATAAATTTATCATTTTTATTTAAAATTAGTTAATTCATATCATTAGTAATAGTTACATAAATTATTATAAATAAAATAGTTTTATTAATATAAAAATTAAGACTGTATTAACTGTAGTAATTAAAAAATATCAATAGCTTTAATATTAATAATAAACTAAGATATAATAAAGGAATCAATATTAAATATAAATTTTCTTCTTTCTTTATGTCTTCTATTTAGGATTTAATATAATATCCTATAGTATGTTACATATTTTAGATTATCAGTTATAAATTTCCTATTATTTTGTAAAGAAATTGTAAATAAATAGAGATGTATATTGTTAGTTTAAAATGTTTCGCTTATAGAATATGAAATTCCTAAGGTCAGAAATTTTATGAAAGTTATCTGTTTTGTATCATGAGTAAAGTTGCTTGTCTAAACTTATTTTAGATTTTGCTATACATTTAAATTTTTAGTTTTGCTAAATTTTTACTAAGTGTTTGATATAGTTTTGTCATTTTTATAAGCTTTAATATAGTTTTACCTTTTCTGAATTTCACAAATTTTTAATAAGATTCTAATATAATTTAATTAAGTTTTACCTAGATATGTGCTAAACTCTAGATTTTATCTAGTAATCTTAATCATAAGTAATATCAACTAAAAATAAACAGAATATTTTAGATTTAATTAACAAAATAAGAGTAAATTATTATTATATGAGAAATGGGATAAAATTTTTATACTGATAAAATAAATAGTAATTGTATATTATTTTTGAATTAATTTATATAATAAATACCTACTGATACTAATTTATGATAAAAAAAGCATAATAAATTATATATTTATTTTAAAGAATATAAAATAACTGATTAGCATTTAATTTGTAACAATACTAATTGCTCTATATTTGAAATATTAAAATATCAGACATTTAAATATATTTATATCATAATAGTTATTAATTCCAAAGTTTTATAGATAAATTTACAGTAAGAATATTCTATAATATATCACTTAATTTATTTTTAATAATATCTTAAACTATTAAATTATTTAAAATTATATAAATATAAAAGATATCTTTGATAAATATTTTAATTCTTTAAAAAAAGTACTATGACAACGACCTGGTAGCTTATGCATAACAGATCTCAGACGTATGAAAATTAACTGATCTGATTTATAAAGAAAGAATCCTATTTGTCAATTTCAAAATCGCGTGAGGTGATTTTTTTTTTTTGCCGGGTAGTTAGAAAATTGATATAACTTTCCTTATTAATTTTTTAGACGATTAGTAGACTTATTTTACAAAATGAGATTAATTTCAGCTCAAGAAATTAGTGAACATAACAAACGCGAAGATTGTTGGGTAATTATTCATGGCAAAGTATATGATTTAACAAATTTTCTTCCTGAACATCCGGGTGGAATCAAGGTGATTCTTAATCAAGCCGGTAAAGATGCAACAGCGGCATTCGATCCAATTCATCCACTAGATATTATTCAAAAATATTTACCCCCTGAGGTTTGCCTTGGAGAAGTTGACCCAACTACAGTAGTCAAAACTGCCAAGGTAGAAACCGAAGAGGAAAAAAGGCGTCGTAAAGCAATCGAAAATAAGCCAGCTATAAGCGAAATGTTAAATATGTACGATTTTGAGGCAGTGGCTTCACAAGTTTTAACACCTGAAGCTTGGGCTTATTTTAGTTCAGGCGCTGATGACGAAATTACTCTCAGGGAAAATCATAATGCTTTTCACCGCATTTGGCTACGTCCTAGAGTCATGAGAGATGTAGCACACGTAGATACGAAAACAAAAGTTTTAGGTTACGAAACATCTTTCCCTCTGTATATAACTGCTACCGCATTGGGAAAATTAGGCCATCCAGAGGGGGAAGTGGTTCTAACTCGTGCCGCGCACACACATAATATAATTCAAATGTTACCCACCCTCGCTTCATGTTCTATAGACGATATGACAAATGCTAGAGGTGAAGGGCAAATTCAATTCTTTCAATTATATGTTAACCGGAATAAAAGTATCACACAAAAGGTTGTTCAGGCAGCCGAGCAGAAGGGTTGTAAAGCACTTTTTATAACTGTAGATGCACCACAATTAGGTAAACGCGAAAAAGATATTCGCGTAAAATTCGTGGATGCACCACCTGATATTCAGGATGAAAAAGATTTAAGACGCGATCAAGGAGCTGCAAGAGCGATTAGTTCTTTCATTGATCCAGCTTTAAATTGGAAAGATCTGGAATGGTTTAGATCGATAACAAAAATGCCTATTGTACTTAAAGGTATTCAAACTTCTGAGGATGCAATACTTGCAGCCAAATATGGTTGTGATGGGATAGTTATTTCAAATCATGGAGGTCGTCAACTTGATTTTGCTCGTTCCGGAATTGAAATTCTTCCAGAAATAGTTGAAGCATTAAAGAAAGAAGGATTATACAATAAAATAGAATTATATGTGGATGGTGGTGTGCGACGTGGAACTGATATTTTCAAAGCGATAGCTTTAGGAGCAAAAGCTGTTGGAATTGGAAGACCATTGCTTTACGCAATGTCAACTTATGGTCAAGCAGGTGTAGAACGCGCGTTGCATTTGTTACGAGATGAATTGGAGATGGCCATGCGACTCACGGGAGCAAATACTCTTGATGATATTCGACCTGAGATGGTAGATATCAAAAATTTAACGGATCATGTTTTCATTCCAAAAGACTATTTATTTTCAAATGTCTACGATAAACTCTTACCAAAAAATAGCAAGTTATAAATGATTTTATTTTATTTATTTTTATTTTTTTATATAATTAAATGTCACGCAACATTTGTATCTTTATTTCATCATTAAAATTTGTGTTTCAACCATCTTTATTCTCTTTTTCTACAACCTTTTCTTCATTCAATTTTTGATTTTCTTGTTGTTTCATGATTACTCTAATTGGCCTTGATTTCCAACCAGCTAACTTTCGAACTTGAGATTTTCTGTTTTCTTGAAACAGTTCAGTTGAAAATTTTGAATCGGAAGGTGTTGGAGGATAATTAAAATCCTCACTTAAAGTAACAATAGCTTTCTTATAACTAGGCCGATATTTATTGGAATATTTTTGTAATTCTGCAGCATAAACCATCGTTCGCACGTCAACTACATCCAGTTTATAAATATGTGTTAAATAATCTTTTATGTCAAGTTTGTTGACCTTAGTCGGGATTCGAAATGCTACTTTATTTGGAGGTAATGAAGGTGTGCGTATTAAACGAAATATTATGTTTGGAAAATAAATTTTTTTAAAACCAGGATTCCATCCCATTTCTAGTTATTTTTCGAAAGATTTTTTTTTTTTTTTAAAAAAAAAAAATTTAAGATGTATGCAACCAATCAAACTTTATTAATTATCAAAGTGGCTTATTTTTTTAATTTCAAAAATTAAAAATTCAAAAAAAAATTTTTAAAAAATTAGTAAAATGGCAGCACCATATAAAAAATTATCAATAAGAAAAATTGCCAAAAACGTTGACAATGGTACTGAAGAGTCAAGATACTGGAACAGATTTAAGGTGTGATTTTGATTTTATTTTTTTAATTTAAAATTGAATGTATGGAAATATACGAATCAAAAGAAAGAAAGATATTTAGAATAACTTTTTAAAACTGAGAAATTTTATTTTTGATTGTTATTCGCGCCCTTATAATTTTTAAATTCCATAATTATATATTTCTAGAGGAAAACTTTTAAAGAAATTGCTTCCGTAACCTCAATTCATTTTTCTCCTATCGCACCACATGATTTCGCAGTAACATCATCTACACGTGTTCAAATCTATTCTCCGAAAAATAAATATCAAGTGACAAAATCGATATCAAGATTTCATGACATCGCGTATAGCGGAAATATCCGAAATGATGGTAACCTTCTTGTCGCTGGAGACGCTACAGGATTGATTCAGGTATTTAATATCAAGCATATCCTTCTTTGTTAAAGATCGTATATTAATAGAAATTTTGTTTAACATAGATTTTTAATATTCATAACAGAGCAATATTAAGAACGATGGAAGGGCATAAACTGTAAAAAATTATACATGTATATATCATCTTTACCTGAATTATTTATAATATATTTATAATCATGATTCGTTAGTCCCGTGCAGGTAACAAAATTTGCTCCTGGAAATACTCAAGTTCTCTCTTGTTCAGATGATAAAACCGTTCGAATTTGGGATATACCTGGTCAAGAACCTGTATCAGTTCTCGAAGGACATCAGGTCAGTCCTTCAATTAAGTAATTATAAAGATAAATAATTATATTTAATCATTATTGAAATTAACAAGCTAATCAAATACTTCAAACTTAAGGATTATGTACGATCTGGTTTAATAAATAACGGCAATCCTCACTTAGTTTTATCTGGTTCTTATGATCAAACAGTGAAACTTTGGGATATGCGTACAAATACTTGTGCCATGACTTTGATGCATGAAGCACCTGTAGAAGAAGTTTTGTTTCTTGATGATCAAACAGTGATTTCAGCAGGTTTTTTATTTTATTTAAAAAAATTTTCTCAAAAAGGAAACATTATTTGATTGTTTAATATAGTCTTCTCATTTAATTATTCTAAGGTGGACCGACTATAAAAGTTTGGGATATTAATGGTGGAGGTCGAGTTACATATTCTTTGTCGAATCATCAAAAAACGGTTACCTCCATGTGTTTCAATTCACTGCATTCTCGACTTCTTACTGGATCTTTGGACCGTCAAGTCAAAGTTTATGATACAAAAAATTTTGAAGTGTTGCATGGGTTAACATATCCCGGTCCAATTTTAAGCCTCGCGATTTCAGTAAGTAATACATTACTATTTTTTTGATATTTACTAATTCCTTTCAATGTCACTTATTGAATATTCAAAATTCTAGCCTGATGAAACCCATTTCGCAGTCGGGATGACATCAGGCACTTTAGCTGTGCAATTCGTTAAAGTGGAAAAGGTTTCAAAACGTGAAAAGGAACAACCAAAACCGGGCACTTATCAATACTTTATTCGTGGTTTCAATCACAGTGGCAGTAAGGTTGATACCTTTTAAAGTATTCACATGTTTATCACGAATATCAATACTTATTCAACATTCTGTTAAAAAAAAATTTTATAAAGGATGATCATGTAATAGAAGCTAAACGAAAAGAGAAACTGGCAATGTATGATCAATATTTGAGGAATTTTCAATATTCAAATGCACTTGATGCTGTTTTAAGACCCGTATGTAAATACATATTTGTAATTTTTATGTTTAATACTTAAAGTTTATTTCACTTGTTAACATGACGCAATCTATAGACTACACTTCCTATTTTGACAGTTTCGTTAATTCAAGAACTTATACTACGCGATGCTTTGACAATAGCCATTGCTGGACGTGATGAAACTTCTTTGACACCTTTAATCAAATTTGTGACTAAATGGATAACTGATCCAAAATATATGAACCTTATGGTCGATGTTGCGCAAGTCATACTTGGTATATTTATATATCTATAAATGTGTGTTTCCAAAAAAAAATTTTGAAAAATCTATTACTAACTATTTACAAAATCTATTTAAGAATTATATTCCCCAGTAATTGGACAATCTTCCACCATAACAAATCTTATAAAGACTTTACATCAAAAAGTAAAAGGTGAAATTTCTATACAGTTAGAGATGGCAAAAGTAATAGGTTCTGTAGAGATGATATTTGCTGGTGGCGCGTTAAGAAATAAGAAACAAAGATAAATTTATAGTATTTATTGATGTTAAAAAGGAAAAAAAAAAATTAAATTATTTATTGAATAGATTCTATAAAAACAAAATACTATCGTTTTACATAATGTCCAAGTCCTCAATATGGAGAAATAAAATGATCAAAGCTAAGTGATGTCATCATTGATACTCGGCTAGTTTAACAAAATAATTACAAATAAAATTTTAAGAATAATTAATCATGTGATAATAAAAAATATATATGATTTTATTATTTATTAAAATAACTAGCGGCGCTAAAGGAAATTTAAATTAGTTAAGTATAACATTATTTGCTCATAATGTAATTAATTACATACCTAAATTTTTAACTAACTCCTCAAGCTCCAACTTACGCGAAGATGATACCATTAGGATTGAACAAAATTTACTAAGTGTCTATTTTATTATTAAGTTTATTGTTTTCATTATTATGAAATATATTATTTATTGTTGAAAACTCCTGCTGGTATGTTGTAATGATATTTTGAAAGTCAATTAAGAAAGTGATATAGAAGTCTATTGGTAAGACATAGATTGTTACAAGAATAATGACTAGTTTAACTAAAGTAGATGAAGGAGAAATAGAAGATAGAGTTGTATTAAAGAAGAGATTTAATTAATTTATAGTCATGTTATACCCATTTGGCAGTCTAAGTTTAAAGGGAATTCATTTATATAAATTGTAAGAAGAAAAAAAGCATCAGTAAAGTGGATCTTGTAAGAATTTAATAAATTATTAATTTATATGTCAAAAATCATTACTAGGAATAGATAGTATAGGTGGAATATATAAGAGTATTGTTAAGCAATATTATGAATAATTAAGATAACAAGTAAATATAAAAATCTTTTATTTTGTGATTATTACAGACTTTAAAAATACTTTAATATGATAATTTTTCTTGACTTCCCAGTTAACAAAAAGGTATTAATGATGATTGCATTTATTATAAAAGTTAAATATGTATGATGATTTTAAACTTAATAAGTTTAGATTTAAGAAAAAATCATTTTAAAGGTTTTAAAAAAGTTTTTAAATTTTTAAATTATACATTAAAATAGGTTTTAAATAATATCATTAATAATAAAGATAAATATATTATAATATAACATAATAAATAATACATTTATTATTTGTTATATAGGAGGTTTACTTCTGAGAATTTTTTATTAAAATTTTACTTTTATTGCATTTTAATTTTTTGATAATATTAGATTAAAATGCAATAAAAATTAAAATTTTAATAAAAAATTCTCAGAGTCTTATTTTTCTACAAATCTCTCATATTATACTTTACAAATATATTTAAATTAACTTAGTTAATATAAATTAAAATTTAATAATAAGATTAAATATTTTAAGAAAATTATATATAAAAAAACCCTTAATATTATTATTATTAAATTTGAATATTAAATAGCAAGTGTAAGTTATAATCAGATGAGTTAGAAGGTATTATAAAATATATAAAATTAGTAAAAATTATATTGTACAAATGTTATAAAGAAATCAGAATATATTTGTTATATTTTTCTAACAATAAAAATTCTAAATCTTTTTTATATTTATAATTGTTTGATTAATGAAACTGTTTCATGATCTATACTATGTCACATTAGAAATCATTGGAATGGTAATTAAAAATACTCTTATAGAAAAATGTTTATAAATTTGTGTATTACTTTTCATGAATAAATATTTATTAAGGTTTTGGATCACAGAACAAAATGGCATTAAAATGCAAATTTCGTTGTAAAATTTTGGAATAAAATAATGTTTATTATTTGATTTCTCCCAGACGTGAAAGACGAGATTCACAATGATTTGATAAGCGATGATTCTTACATCACTCTTCGCAAGACATTATTATACTATTATTGTTATTGCTAATTAGAAGGTTCTTTGATACAAAAAAAATCTGCTGATAGAAATATCTAAATCCTGAAGTATTTACTTTTTATTTGAATCCTTTTTATGTCTACAAAATGAAAAGGTATAATGAATTCAAAATTATTTGAAATTACCGAAAATGAATTAGAATGCTTACTTTATTGGATCAGCAACGTTCAATAATAATGCTTCGGAATCCAATAACACACGATTCTGAGATTGAGATAAGATTGTGGCAATATCTCTAGCCGTTTCAATTTTTCTCAACTCAAGAAATCCAGGCTTGTTCTTAACGGCTTCTCCGATTAACTCAGCCGATACAGCTTCTCCTTCCGCTCTAATAATAATAGATTGCTTTTCTTGTTTGGCACGCTCCACCACAAAAAATGCACGTTGAGCTTCTTGTTGGGCAATTTGTTTAGCTTCGACTGCATGTGTGAATTCAGGAGAAAACGCAACATGCGTAATGGAAACATCATCCAGAATGATATTGAACCTTAATGCGCGGCGTGTTAAATTTTCTCTTACGAGACGCGAAACTCGTTCACGTTGTGTGATTAATTGTGAAGCATTAAATTGCGCGACCACTGACTTAAGTACTTCATTAACAATGGATGGAAGAACTCTTTCATCATAGTCTGATCCGAGAGTTCGAAAAATTGTAGGCAAAGATTCAATTCTTGGTTTAGACAAAACACGGCATGTAATATTGACCATTTGAAGATCTATGTAAAATATTATTTAAAATTTCTGACTGATCACGTAAAAAAAAAAAAAAAAATTAATTACCTTTTGTACCCGTTAAAGACGCAATGTTTCTTGGCTTGGCCCTCACGTCATAAATGATTGGTGTTTCAAGCCATGGAATCATAAAATGTGTACCTTCATTATAGATATCTTTTTTAATTCCCAAAAGTCTGGTATATTTAATCGCGCGATGACCACCATCAACTATAAAATTATAATAAATGAGCTTGTAAGAGTTTTACAAAATTATTGTATATAAATCGGTCTTTTATTTAATTACATAAATGTAAACAATTTAAATTTTTTCATAATTAAATTTCAATTTTATCCTTTCAAATTGCAAATATTTATTGATAAATAAAAATTTTAAAATACCGTTAAATAAACTGGCATTTATCCCAAGGCCGACAGCACCTAAAGTTATTAAAGCTCCCGCACCAGTAAATAACCCCTTTCCGCCACCTTTTGGTAGCATTCCACTTAATCTGTTAATAGCTTGTTTACCCTGAGAAGCCATTCTGTCGTTTTAAAGAAAAATGGTTTTTTTGATGCCTGGGCAAATCAGATTAATTTGATAATCGAATAAAAAATTTTACAGTGGCGCAGTAAGGACGGCTATTATATGTGATTAATTTATAGATAGATAGAAATAAAAGGGCAGAAAGTTTGGGATTTAATTAAATTCAATTCTAAGTTCTACGCGTATGCTTCCAAAAATTTTGTTTCTACTGACTGCCTCCCATATACCACAAAAACGTGTTAAAGCTTACGAGATTAAATCTTTTTTCAAACATTTCCTTAACTTTATACAGTGAGACCTCGCTAAATATATTTTTTTATAAATACACATTCCACACAGCCCCAAGTATATAAGATCATATAAAATTTCTCTCTATAAATGCACACCCTCTTTAAAGCACATTTTTTTTAAAAAAATTTTCACTATGGTCCCAGGGGTAGGGATTGGAATCGATTCAATCGAAAATCGAATCTTGAGAATCGATTAAAGTTTCGATTAATCGTTTCTAAGATTCGATTTGACGATTCGATTTTTGATTTCGATTAATCGAATCTTAACTGAATTTGTGTATAATAATTTCGCAGCGCCAATCATTTTTTTTATGCATTCGTGGCGCAGCAACTTCGTTGATCTCGCAACACAAAATTTTAAAATCATTTTAT